TATATATATATATATATATATATAACATTTCAATAAATAAAATATATGTTTTAAAGAATAAATTAAATTCTTTATTTTTATGAACATTAAAATATTCTAAGCTACAGTAATTTTATAACGTAATGAAAGTTGGTAGTGTTACGAGTCAATGAGAAAGTTAGTGAAAGTAGCTAACATGACAATAAAAGTTTATCGTCGTAATTATGGTAGCCACTGAATTACTATTTTCTCTCTCTATAATCATTAAAATTTAATTTTAATATCTTTTTTTTATTAAAATATTTATAATATAAGTTTTATGTGAGTGTGGTTGAATTTTTTCTAAAATTAGGTATCTATCAAAATTATTAAAGTTTTACAGTAAAATATGTATCCCTCTCTTATTTAATAAGTAATTAATTTCTATATCGATATTTTTATTTACATTCATATAATAAATTTATACCTATATTATTAATTAAACAAATTGTGAAATAAATAATTACGTAAATTTATCTTGAAATGCGCCAAAATAATATGGTTATTTGACTTTTTAAATGTAAACTCTCTTTCACTTCTTACTCTTTACTTCTTAATACATTAACTTAACTATAAATATTTTATTGCAGACATCAATACAATTGAGGAGGATAAGCTGCTACATACTTTACAAACGGTCGGTCACTTATCTAATAAAGCTGCTCGACGTGTGTACCTAAACATAATAAATCACCTGAGCACTATCAAGAAGGACGGTTTATCGGTTTATGTCAGTAGTTTAGTTGAGTTTCTTCGACTCACAAAATATCTTCACACTGTCAACGAAAAGCCACAAACAAACGGCGAAGTAAATCAAGAACCACACGATGAAAATAAGGAAAAGAGCGAGTAAAAAAGAACACTGCTTCTATCTTACTTTTCTCAAAATTTCTATATATAATGGTTATTTAAACCATCGAAATTAATATCTTTTGTATTGTATTTCTAATGTGAAAATAGCAGTTTATATTTATTTTTAATAATTATACACATATAGTTGTTATTCGTGGTAATGTTATAAATATTGTTAAGAATCGAATTACTGCGGTCACACATGCTAATTTCTAACTGCCAAAAAACTAAATGACATGCAAAAATATTCTGCGTCAATAAAGCGTTAATGTATAAGTATTCTTTTATGTTATTCGCTAAATACACAAAATATAAAAAAAATAAAAATAAAAACGAGATAATATTTGTTAGAATGAGATGCATGTAGAATAAACGTATAAATGAAATTTATATTTATGTATTTTGTATAATCTGTATAAAAATGTGAAAATAGTTGAACAAGATAATAAAAGATACAAATGCAATAAATTTCACAGATTGTTATAACACATATTAAATGAAATCAAATAAACTTTAAATAATAGCCAGTAAATGATATAATGCAATTTGTGATATATATGTATATATATTTAATAATATATATTTTTTATGTACCTCACAATCAGTATGCATAAATTTCAACGAGGTAATCGAAAAATATGAAATTTTAAATAATTACCAAATCTTAATATATTTGTTTAGATATATTTCTAAAATATAATTTTATATATTATATTATACATACACATTTTTATATTAATACATATAATATATATGTTGTATATATTGTGTTATATGTATATAAATAGATGTGTTCCATTTCAAAGTTCAGAATGCTATACTGACATCTTTCAAATTACACATAATATTTTTTTAATTATTTCACAAAAAATTTTTCATATATTATTATTATTGTTGACACAGTAAGAAAATTTTTTCGATTTTAAAAGTAAATATGCATTTTGTATACAGAATAAATATGTAACAAATATAATAAAGGTAATTGTAATAAAAATTTATATTTTGCACATTTCGTTAATATACTATAATTAATACATTATAATAAACATGAAGATAAAAATTTAATTTTTTACTATTTATTTATTTTATTATTTAAATTTTAAATTATACTATTTCATAATATAAAACATTTGTTTACTATTAAAGCTTAAAGAGGTTTAAACATAAAAATAATAAATTTGACATTAAAAAAATTACTTTACATTTCATTATCTTCTTTTTTTTATTTATTATTTATATTTATTAAATACAAGAAAAATCTATTTATTTCTGTACATGTTTTACCTAGAATAATATGATTGAACAATAGGACTTATCGAAATAATCGTCTATGCTTTTATACCATAATATGATTATTATTTATTAGCAATGAATTATTGTATTTTTTATTTACACTTCTTGATATATTATCACATATATTAACACGTACGATAAAATTTCTCGAGTTAATAAGGCTAATTAACAATGAAACCGAAGTAGAAGTAAGTATGACAATACAAATATCTCGAAGCAATATTTAAAAAATTGCATCAGATTCATTATAAACAGCATCATCGTTACTTCCAATTATCATTCTTCGTAGGGTCAACTTCGTGGACTATTCATTCGTTTTCCACGTGTATTTATAGTAGAAGGGTACAAGTGTGCGACCGCCACGTCACGGATGTTGCGAGATATCTTACTGCGCAGAAGCATAAATGGAACCATAGACGTACTTGTATTACATGGAACCTAAACGTAAAAGTGCATCAAACTATCATATAATGCAACCGAGCAAATAATATGATGTAACACTGTAATGATGTAATGTAAAATACAAAAAGTACTTTAAATATGAAAGATAAAAATAATTTTTCGAAAACAAGTGCCTCTATTTAAAAAATATTGTTTGAAAAGATATTATTTTTGTTGTTTTACTAAAAATGTCAAATAATTTTTCAGATTATGTTTAAATCAAGTACAGATATAAAAAATATATAAAAAAAAATATAAGTATATTAACATTAGCTGAAGATATCTCAATTCCTTCTCTAACAATAAGATTTAATAATAAAATTAAATGAGAGAGATTGTGTATTCTACTGATAGAATAGCATTTATTTATCGTTATTTCCCTATTTTTTAAATTTCCTTCTTCCAAACAAAATGGGTGTAAAATAACTTCTATTTCGACTTTCTCATACAATTAAGTGAGTTTAGTAGATTCCACCAGTATAGCTCTGAAATGTGAAAGGAATTAGCAAGGTATTTGACGTTACTGTTCGATCTCCCCACTTAATAACGTTCCCCCAATACGTACCGGTTTTCACACAGATATAACGACAGTCTTACCCGGCATCTTGTGCAAGTTGGTCATATATCGTTGGCTTTCAACAAATTCTTTCCAGTAAGTCATCTAAAAATGTAAGTATTTATTATAAAATAAAATAAAATAAGGAAACAAAAAAATTATAAGATATTGAAATTTAAATTAAACATTTTAATTTACTTTATATAAAAACGTTTTTGCTGACACAATGTAAATAGTATTTATAAAATAATGTATGTTGCGAGAAAATATTGTATTATATTTTAATGCTTTTAGTACTACCACATCTTTCAATATGACTACTATTGTGAATAGCATTTACTAACTTAATTTAATAATTATTAGTGATTGTTATTACATTAATTAATATTTTGTTATTTTAAACATTCAGTGAACTATTAATTTATAATTACATATGTATAATAATTTATATTCACATAATAATTTACTCATGTAATATTATGTTGATCTATACTCGAAATGTTATGTACGATTTCAAGTTAACAGTTGTACGTTATAACTTGATCCATAACTGAGGTTAATATTTCACAACAAACATCAATAATTTTCTAGGACAAAAAAGAAGGTTTGCTTTATGTTTGTTGCTGTATATACGCATAAAATTAGCACTCTGGTTGTCGTAATGCGCATTACATAGAATCTACGTTGTAATAATTATTAAAAATAATGTGAAATAATTAATTATATAATGAAGAAAATAATTTTTTAAATACAATTAGATATTTTATTAACAATTCTATACATAAAATACCTAAAAAGTCGCATAATTTCATCTAACAACAGATAAAGGATATGTTAAAAAACAAAGATCTAAAAAGCGAAATATACTTAAACAAAATTTTAAATACAAAATTTTATTTTAAGAAATAATTATATAGAAAAAAATTAGATTGTATTAATAAAGTTGAAATGTTATTACAAGAAAGATATAATAAAATATTTTTTATATAAAGCGATATATTTGAAGAAAAAAAGTTATAAAAGAATTTAAAATTGCAAAAAAATATTTTCAAATAAACGTCTTGTATGGGGTACGTTTAGTAACAGCGACGTAATAACAACACGGAATTTTACTTTACTATTTTCTCGTCTGTTCCAGCGGATGAGTCATGTATTACGCGCATAATCTCATGATCAGTTGAGTACATTAGTTCGTGTAATGAAAATCTAAATATTTGATTTTGCTTTACTCTTTGCATTCTTTTTTTCGGCACTGTTATATGTATGTACATGTAGATGATGTGTGAGATACCATATAAACATTTATGGTATCATACATATGCAATATGTGTCTCGCGATAATTTTATTCATTGGAACATTTTTTGTTTTCCTCTTTTGTTTTTTTTAATTTGCCGATCGCACGTATGTAGATACATTAAGAAAAAAAATGGAGGAAATTTAGTCGTTAAGTTATATATAAATTACGGTATCAAAGTACATATCTGGCTTGACACCATAGATAACAAGATGACTGACAAGTGTGATTCACCGACTACCGAAGGTACAAAGATCTCTGTAAAAAATACTTGTTCGTCGCATTACAGGGATACCTCTTTAAAATATTTGAGTGCATACTCGAGCGTGACACACATAATAATTAACGTCATACAACCACTTACATAAAATTGGAAAATTTATCGCAAATGATTCAACATTGTCTTGAATTTAATTGACATCCGCACATATCATCGTGCACTGTCACCATAATTGCAACATTTTTATCGTTGTTATTTGTACAATTTTACTGTTATTGTATTAATATATTTGTTCTAAAAATGGCATAAATCAAACTTTTAAATTCAAATTATATTATAAATTTTAAGCATGGTGTAAAACTTTGCATATATATATCAGATTTGAGTATATTTTAATACAAATATTTTGTCGACAAACAATTTTTTTAATTTGATATATGCCACTTTCGATACATGATAAGCTGTATAAATACAAATTATAAATTTAATTCGATTTTTACAGAAAGAATGGCGGATGCCACTAAAACAACATCAAACTCCTCTGGTCCCCGTTTTGAAGTGTTGGACCGAGTGAAAAATATTCCGGTAGTTCATTCAGCAATCGAAAAAACGGAATCTACATATTCTTACGTTAAAGATTCTCATCATTTGGTAAATTGGGCTTTGAATCAAGCCGAAGCAGGACTGCATTATGCGACCGCCACGGCCGCGCCGCTTACTGCACCCTTGGCTAAGAAATTTGAAGGACAGATCAATGCTGTTGACCAGAAACTATGCGAAGGATTGGACATAGTCGAACAAAAAGTTCCGATTGTGAAGAAACCACCTCAACAGGTAACGCTAAAGGAAACCTGTCTCTTTTCAGTGGGGCAGTGATCTCCTCGTACAGTAGGGTAGCTATACAAAATCTGGGCACATATTATGGAATTGTTCGGAATAAATTCCAATCGGAATTGTTCAATTATTCCGTAGATTTTTATTGTATTTTCTAAGGAAAACGGAATAAATTTCGGTTAGATTTTTATTCCGAACAAATTCCATAATACATATCTTAGTCCGTTTAAAAGTATTAATGAAATAAAAACAAGTAAATAAGAAAGAGACATATAATTTTTTTGAAGCAATCTGATTCATGTACTACCTATTAATTAATAAATGGCTTTCTGGTGTTTACAGATATACGATGCCGCCAAAGCGGTTATGAGCAGCTCTTTGCAGCCAACCATCGAAAAACTTAATACGGCAAAAGAATCAGCTACGCAACAAGCATCTACGTTAAAAGAGATCAGTATAACTAAAGCGAATGAACTTCTAAATACACAATATGGTAACATGGCTGTACAAGGCGTTGACAATACTAGTGTACTTGTCAATCGTTTATTAGATCATTATTTCCCACCGGTGGAAGGAGAAGAGAATACACCAAGTATGTTCTCCAAAACTTCATTTTATTAGCATTATATTTATTAATTAACCAGTATTGTTTTAATGATCATAATGACGTTATTGCAGGTCCCATCTCCGCGGATGAGAACAAAGTTCTTCATACGGTGCAAACGATTGGACAATTGTCAACGAAAACCGCTAATCGCGTTTACCATTCGGTTGCCGCTCAATTGAAGACAATAAAAAAGGAGGACGTAGCGACGTACATATCTAGTGTAGTGTCCATTCTTCATTTTACACAATACTTGCACCCTGAACAGAGACAGGCAGACGATAATGAGACAAATAGTTCAACGGAGAATAAAGACGAAGAGAAAAAGTAAACTGAAAGTTTAAAGACGTTTCATTTGTTCAATACGTTTATACACGTCCGTATCAATACATAATTTAATTTATTACGCATTACGAAGGAAAGCATTAAAAAAGAAACATAAAATACGGAAAATACAAAACTTGAAACAATGAGGAAAATTTTTGTTTAAAAAAATTTTATAAAAATTTAATATGGTGTACATATATTTTTGAGAAGACTTTTAATATCTTTTGTAACGAAAGCATTCTTTTTTAAAAATATAAAATACGTTAATACCAGAAAAAGTATATAATGTTTTTAATTTGAGCAAATTCAAATTCAATGATTTATGTTGATTTTTAAATATATTTATGTATACTACATTTACAATACGTAAATCACAATTTTGTGATTAGCAATAAGATACATAATTTTAATATTTTCTATACATGTGACAAATTTATATATTAATGAAAATTGTAAAGTTATTAGCTTTTACAGTTGCCAGAAAGGAGTAAACTTTAATTATCTCCACTGATGCATCATCATTATTATTAGAATTACACTTGTTTATGTATAATACATAAATGTGTTTTAAGTAAAACATATTGAAGATCTGTGAATGCATGGAAGGCATAAATAAATAAATGCAAATATATATATTTTATAAAGTATTATGTAGATGTATTCTAAAATATACTTTTGGAGAAAACATTCTTTATATTATTATTTATCCTTACTGATTCGAAATGTAGAATTAAAAAATTTAAAAATTTAGTTTTTTATAAGTAAGGTCTCGAAATGAAGTAAAATGCAGTTATTTCAACGTAACAAAAAATAAGAAATACTTCTGCAATCTATTTACTAAGAATTACATTTTCGTTATAACTCTTTATTTTTTTAATATACAATATATTTTTATAAAAATGAAAAAAATGAAATATCTTATTTTCATTAATAAGAATATTTGAATAAATTAAAATTAAAACAATAATCTTTATATGCCTATTTTTTAGAAATTAATTTATCGATTCAAATAATGTTCAACAAAATAATAAAAAGTCATTTTTAATTTCATTTAATAAAATTATTAATTTCTTTTAAATAAAATTATAATAAATTTTAATAAATTACAATAAGATCTAAATAAATTTTAACAAAATCAACGAAAAATTAAAAGAGAAGACTTTATATTTATTAGGTATATTTAAAAGTTTTTACACTAATGTATAGATCGCTTTAATCTTTACGTTACCGACGTACGATTGCTCCGAAATGAACTGTCAAGGACTTAACAGTAGCGGCGTAATCTCGTGGCGGACAACCGTATTTCCGTTCAATACCGGGTGATGAAAAATGACAGGAAAGTAAGTTCGCTAGTCCGTTAAAGTGTATAAATAATTGAACTCGCGGTCGCTTATCGGAGTAAACAAAACTTTATAGTGAAATGAGTCAGGGATCAAGGTTCAACAGCAGTGATGTTTAAAGAGGGAGATAGTGAGAAAAGAGAATAAAAGAAAGAGAAAGTATAACAGAGAGAGGGAGAAATACAAAGCCATAGGGCAGCTGAAGGGAAGCTGGCGTCCACTCACAATTGCAACGATCATATCAGTTAAATGTCAAACTAACGCGATTTCGCTATATCACATCGTATCACATCGGTTGGAGCATCTGTCATTTCACGACCGTGACATTGATCTTGAAACGTACGTATGTTTCTATAACTATACTTGTACGTTTCCATCGATCGGGAGTGCGAACAATGAGTCGTAGTAAGCCACGCGCATTCCTACGGCGCTCGTTGCTTTGTACTCCAATCATGATATTAGTTCTCGCTTAGTGTGCTTAAATGAACATTTTCTTTTTCTACGCGAACGCTGTTCATATCCTGCTTGAATTGCAATTTATATATAGAAGAATGTGTTAATGGAGTTAGTATCTATTATTGAGCTGTAAATAGTGTGCTTGATGTAATAATGACACTTATGATGCAATAACAATGCTAAAAAATTTTATTGACAATGACTTAAATATTATAGTGGAAGACAATCTCTTCTACGTATTATTTATTCTTTCTATAATTTGCATTCCGTATAAATAATTTATGTACACAGTTTATACTTTTATAGCTTTATAATACTCTTGCGTCTGTCTTTGTCCTCTCATATGTTCCTTGAAATAAATTTTTGTTGAAATTTGTTTAATTTAATTTATAGCCAGTTCCCCACGCAATGGTCTTGCTACATCTATTAAAATTATTTTTAAATAGAAAACTTCACATGTTCGTTAAAATTAATTTAATATCTTTTTGTTATAGATTGTGCAGTGCACAGGAATCAAGAGGTTATTTGCTTTATCGATGAGAAGATTTCAATTTAATCATAGCCATGGATACGGAATTCTCGGATCAGTTATATCGAATTCAAGCTGTTGATCGTGCACGTAAAATACCCAGCGTGAATTACTTGTGGGATAAATCCACAGAGGTGTATGAACGTGTAAAAGGCACAAACACGTTTGTAAACTGGGCTTTTGACACCGTTGAAAGTGTGTTAAATACGATGATAGAGAAGTCTCTGCCAGTCGCTCGACTGATGGAGAAACCAATTTATACGCTGGATAAAACATTGTGCCAGGGTATCGATTTTGTCGAAGGGAATCTGCCAATAATTAAAGAAGAACCCCAACAGGTTATACTCATTTATACATATATTCATATTTCTAGCTAAAATATGGATCCTTTAATTACTTGATATAAAATTTATAAATGTATTTATCTTTTATATTTTTTTTCCAGATATTAAATCGCACCAAATCTATGGTATCCGAACATCTCCGTCCTGCAGTAAAAACTTTTACTGATTTAAAAAGGGAAACCAAGCAGAAAGTAAGAGTTATGACTTTACTTACATATTATAAGGTTCACTATCTACGTATCTACAGCTGGCAACAAGCCGACAGAGTCATGTCAACTGAAACTGGAATCAGTATTTTAAAGACCGTCGATAACACTACTGATTTTGCTGAAATTATGTTGAACAAGTACCTACCTCCATCAGAGGAAGAGATTCATACAGATACAGGTAATTGTTATAAATATAAATTTGACATAACAAAATTTAAGATACGCTAATTATAGTAGTAGTATTAGTAGTTTTTATTTATGTTTTTAAAACGGAATATATAGAATGCAAATTAGTTCGGTCCGTTTTCCAAAAAATAATCGCCTCCAAAGACGAGTTATTTTTTCGAGATGGAATTCGAAAATTGCCTGAGAGATGGAAAAAGTAGTAGCCAGCGATGGACAATACTTTAATGAATCTGTTCATTCGTTTTGTTTTGAAATAAATGCATTTTTGAACACAAAAAACGTACCGAATTAATTTGTACACCTAATAATTAAGCCAAATAATGGTTTTAATAATACTAATTAATTTACACTTCTAGAGCGATTATGTAGTGAACACGTTAAGCTGCATCATACAATGGAAAGATTGAGCGAATTCAGTACTCGAGCATACAGACGTATTTATTACGCATTAATGGAGAGGTTGCAGCACATGTATAAGATAGAAATACTTATTTTGGTATTACATGTTCTTGTGGTCATTCAAGCGATCAAGTTCTTGGAATCGGTAGTGAGTTTAATTTTTAAATTATTTAGTGACTGCCTCTTTTCGTCTTAGAGATACGTTCTAGTCCGTTTTATAATCGTGTATGTAATAGCACTTAAGAAATCAGACTATTTTTATTATATATTTTTACATGAAATTATTTCCAAGTATATTTTACTTGCAAACTGCGAATTTTACTTAATGAGAAGTCGTGAAACGTGTGACCATTCGCAGAATAATTTCATAATCCAAAATGAATTAAAAAGAAGCTGTGCTCTCAGCCATGATATATGGCAACTTTTTCTCATGATATTTCGCATTTGCACATTTCCGACTTTTTACATAATCTTCTAACTGCCGTTTGTTAAGAGAAATAATTCAATTATTTTTAAGAAGAAAATAAATTTCTATATGTAAACTAATTTTATAGAGATAATCCTCTTTTTAAATATATAGAATGTTTTAAAGCTCTTTTTCTTAATCGTAAATATAAACTAAACTAAAATTTCTAAATCTAACTAAAATTAAAGTAATTTTAAAGTAATAAAATCTTAAATTTATCCAAAAAAAACGGTCTATTTTATAAGATGTTAAAAAACGTCATTTGTTTAATATGAAAAATTAAATCATAAACTTTTAAATTAAAAATTAGGAGATTTTGGTACCTTAAACAAAGAAATATAACAAATCATAGAATTTATAATAAATCATTTAAAATAGAATTCGAATTTAAAATTACCAAAAAATATAATACCAAAAGAAAACGTGTACAGAAGACACTGTTTATATTATGTAATATCCTGTATATTTATTATTATTTTTATTTTGCCGTGTTTTAAATATGTGACATAGACTAAAAGAAAGAGAAAAATATCTCTATTTGAGCATTTATCTTTATATGTATTTAACCATTATCTATGTGTTACACTCAGATTTTTAATTTAGTCAGTAATGTTTGTAATGCTGATCGGATTGTTAGACTGTATATTTACGAGGACGAATCAGCAAAGCGATTATCGTTGTTCTTTTTTTAAGAATATAACACGATATTTTTCGATAAGATTTGTCCGTGTTTTCAAAGCTGTGCTTTCCGTACCCTGTTAGTATATGACGGGCATACGTACTCGAAAGGCGTGGTATTCGCACATGACACAAACGCTTAATAATGTCTTATTTCTGCTATTTCTTTGTGTTATTTAGATTTATATGTAAGATTTGTTTTTTAAGCAGATAGACTATTTAATAAAATGTAATGTTACTGTTAAGCAAAATTGATCCCGAACAGATAACAGATTTTATCGTATTGAATATAGTTGATTCAGACATTTTAGTGAAATAAAAACGACAAACAAAAGTAGAGCATTCAACCACACGCAAGCTAGTAATTAGCGAATATGTCTTATATAATTACAACATTTCTTTCGTTACATCATAAAATCATTACATGTTAGCCAAACGTTTCGGCCTTTAATTTGGCCATCATCAGTGTTACAAATACAAAGTTATTCTCAAATATATGATAAAAACTAATAGCTACATTTGTCATTGTCATACACTCAAACGATTGTTAATTGTTGTTGATTAAATTTTTTTATACATTTGATCCGAATTATAATAAACTTGTTCCTTATAATAATTATACAATATAATAAAGTCTCATACATGTTAATCTTATTTCGGAAAGATACTTTCAAAGTAAATCGTTGAAGAAACATTGCGAGCGATGTATTTGTAAGAAAAATAGCGATACACAATCATCATGGTACAGGAAGATATAGTTTGGAAACTATATCTTCTTATCCATGAAGAACAGAAATCACGAAATCAATTAAACGGCATGAATAATTACATATACAACTACCTAGAATAAGATTAATATGTATGAGACTTTATTATATTGTATAATTATTATAAGGAACAAGTTTATTATAATTCGGATCAAATGTATAAAAAAATTTAATCAACAACAATTAACAATCGTTTGAGTGTATAACAATGACAAATGTAGCTATTAGTTTTTATCATATATTTGAGAATAACTTTGTATTTAAAACTTTTTAAAACTTTGTAACATCACTGATGATGGCCATATTAAAGGCCGAAACGTTTGGCTAACATGTAATGATTTTATGATGTAACGAAAGAAATATTGTAATTATAAGACGTAATACTAGCTTGCGTGTGGTTGAATGCTCTGCTTTTGTTTGTCGTTTTAATTTTAAACCACGTATAACCTTGTAATTAGTGAAATAAAATATGTCTAGGAATATTTGATATTCCTAAGACAATTAAGGAATTAAGAATATTTGAACAAGTTGAAAATTGAGATTTTAACTATAACGACTGTGATGGAAAAAAGTGATTAATTTATTCCTATTTTAATATCAAGTCATGTTATTTTGACTTGGATAACATAAATGTGAATAAATTAAGCATTATAAATATAAGATTTTGCACACTTGATAATGTTAGAAAAAAATTATATATCAAAAATATAGATATATATAACATGTTACACATTGAGCAAGATAATTGATAATAAAAGATTTGTAGTTAGAGTGCAAAAATATTTCTTATACAAATATAATACGGACATTTTTATAAAATAAACACTCAAATATAAATATATCTGAGTGTTATTTTGAATTAAGTGTTATCTGTATTGAATTAATTGTCTCTTTCTCTTGCGTGACAAAATTAATAGTAAAAAAATTTTTTTAAATTCTGTTTAGTTTAATATTATATATGGACGCAAAAATAACCGTCACAATACGCTTTATCGTCAAAAATGTTATCGTAAAGCTCCATAACTTTTGCACACTACTTATAACAAAGCGATCAGTAACTTATAAGACGGACACACAGACTACAGATGATTGTACTCACACTAATAATACGTAAATCTGCAATTGTTTTCCTTTCCTGTACTTACTAATGCATTTGTATAAATAATTGTATATTAAAATGTAATTAAAAACTACTACTTGGGACACACTCATTTACCCTATTCGCGGTTGTTGTTCCTGTTATTATATTAGTCCTGTTTTTAATGTACACATTTAAGGCGTGTGGTCAGCATTGAAATTGTCACAGCAAAACAATAAACAGTCGATATAAAAATCCGATTATCCGGTCGCGGCTGCTTTTTTTTAAACAAACCATTTCTCAAAGTGTTGGTCTCAAGTCGAGAGATAAGGGGCTCCCGGGGCACCGAGCGTTAAAGAAACGAGAGTATATTTTTCTGATGTCAGTGTCAGAGCATTTATCACGTCTCATCCTGCGATCCGTGGAAAACCGGGATGAAGTGATAGCATCGTATATGCGAAACATTCGGCAAACACACAGCGAGAGAAAATACGTGCGCATGTAGTCGCCGACGATACGATGGTCAAGGCTCTCGCAGTCTTTATTATGGTATCTTCGTAGTCGTTTCACATTTAATTCCATTGGAAGGCTAGGAAGAATATGATGAAGACGAGATTAACACATACAAAGCTGCCATAAACATTTTTCTTCAAATAAGAGACTACTTCATGTCTCGGCAAAAAAGTAATGGAAGCCTTTTTAATTATGTATATATTGTTTATTTGATCAAAATTAATTGTTTTTCAGTTTTTTCTCTTTCTTCTTTTTTTATTCTCTCATTCTATGTTACATATAACAACCGATTCTCAAATACTATAATAATTAAGTTGTCTCTACTAAACAATTATTAATTATTAATTCATGGCGGATAAAAAAAACTTGAAGGTTTTACTCATCAATATTAACTTGCTAAAAATACAAATACCTACTTTCTATTATTCTTGCAGATAGCATTTATCTAAGACGCACAACATCCATATAAAATACATCTGACAGGTATTTATGCCAGATGTATCTGCTCGCTCGTCACTTACTCATTTAAGTTTATTCTTTATGTCGTGTAAAACGCGGTACTGGCATCGTGGTTTAGGCATATGTAACGGACAATATAACGTCACATTAATCATCGGAAGTCAACGCGCGTTTCTCTGTGCCTCTTAAAACGTCATTCTTTCTGCCGGCCTCATCACAGCGTGTGCATTTGCGAACAGACGGACGTCTTTTCATTAACGTGCTCGCAGATAATCCTGATGTACTACTGCTTGGATGTATGCGATGCGCGCTGCAACTTTCTCGAGGAATGCGGTTTGATGGGTGTAGCGTTGCGAAAAGAGAAAGAAATGACCATTTAATGTTGAAGCGATGCTTACGTACGTTGTACTGAGTTGTAATGTATGCGAAGGTTACTTCAAGAAATTGGAAATAGAGTTTTGAATCACAAAGCAGCGGTTCTCAAAATTTCTGATCCAGTTTATTAAATATATCTAAAAAGAATTGTTTCATCAATATAAATTGATTATAATTAAAATAAATACAAATTACAAAATTTTATTTACTTTATTTTTATAATTCCAGATATTTCCTTTTTTAATGAAATAATAATTAAATGTTGAATGCAAATAAAAAAGCGCAATTATAAAGACGGGGATTTACTTAATTAAGTTTTATTTCATATCATAGTCTCCTGCGTAAAAAAAATATGATTAAAATAATGAGTAAAATTATTAAAATTAATGAATTACTTTTTGAAATATAAATAACTATGTCAGTAGATATATTATTAAATGTTAACATATTATTAAAAATTAACAGAAAAAATATTTTATTATTATTTTTTATATTATTTAATATTATCTAAATTAATATTTTATTAGAAGCAAACGGAAATCTCGTCATTATCTCTCAGATCAGGAATACAGTAAAGATCGATTCATGTCTAGTGCAGACGCATCATCTTTTAAATAACAGCGATTTTCTGGCGATGTTTGTGAATCGTTTCAGATAGCGAATGTCCCTCTATCTCTCCCAAATATTGTAACGTATACAATAAATTCAAGCGTTGCATTTTTATAAACGGACTTGTTTATTACTTGTTAGAATCTCCTAACGCAAGAGAGAGTAGAGAGCTCGCGATAAATGCAACAATATACATATAAATAAAATTTTAATTTTTATAAAACAAAAAAATTTAACAAAATATATATAAT